CATAACACCACGAAGAGGGTTTTTCTTGACCACATTGGACTCAAAAATTTTTTAACAAAAATCATAAGTCGAATTCTTAAATATGCATTATAAAGTTTTATTATTCAATAAAGAGTATTTTCCATTCGTGATGTGCTGGTAATGTCCACCATATTCTGTAAGGATTTGTCTCTGCAGTGATTTAAACTTCTCACTAAAATCCAAACACCGCTTAACATGCAAAAATAGCGAAGATTTGACAGGCGTGATTTTTACTGAAGCGTTCAGTAATAATTACTGAACTCCTCTATTTTTTATATTTTTCGTCAGTATTTATAAATTTTTCACTGACAGTCGGTAAAACTTTTACTGAACAGTTGAGATTAAATGACATTTCATGGCTTACAATGTACATCGGTAAAATAAATGCAAATTTTCAGTAATATAACAAACGAAGTGACAGACGGAGTGGCTCGAAAACTTTGGTGACTAACCTGCTATTGCAATTTTTCAGTGTACCACATGGCAACACCACTACTACTGGATTGTACCACATGGCAACACTACTAATGGATTGTACTAGAATGTTTTGGTTCTATCTCTTTCACTCTACTCAAAACTGAAATGCATAAAAAAATGACAAAATGATACGCACTCTTTGCACACTGTCAAAGAATCATTGTACACAAAATCAACTTTGTTCAAATCAAAACAAAAAAACTAACCCATCTGGTGGATGATGGCACAAGCTTCCAAGAAAATTCTATTACAGTGAACCACATTATTTTAATGGATTTCTTCGCCAGTAAGTCGTCTGTCACTTCGTTTGTGGTAATATTCTCATAGAAATTACCGAAAACTTGTATTTATTTGACAGTCAGAAGGAAATTGAAGCAATTTTACAGATCACTCAGTAGAAATTCAATTTTACAGCTCTGAACCGTAAAAAAAATACCGAACATCAAAACTAGAATTTATACTAATAGGGGAAATGACGGCTTCGGCATGACAGACTATTTTCGGCAACCCAAATTGAAACACTATTGTCACTGGATTTTCTTACGAAAACACTTCGCTGAATGTATGCAAACGATTCTTTATGCTTTCAGCTTCAATTTGACTATATTTTTACCACTGAGAAAAAGCAGTCTAGCAGAGTTTTCTTGAAATGAAACACACGCACTACAAATTGTAGCTGATTTCGAGCTGCCGATAATAGAACAGCAGATTTACATGCAGTTCAAATGGAACGGTTGCCGAAGAAAAACTGGTTGCCGACAATACTCGCTCTCACTAGAGAAGATTGGAGCTTTGTAAAAGCGTTTCAAAACAGTTTTTGACAATTCTTTCGACTGAAATTGTTAGAGCAGCTGGCAGCAAAAGATTGTAAACAAACCAATACTGCATATGTGTGCGTTCCATAGAGAAAAAGGCTATAGAAAGAAGGTCGCTGCTTAGGTTGCCGAGAATACGTAAATTCCCCTATATACTAATAGGCCATGACAATGTTTTTAAATTGTTAGATTATGGGCGATACTTATTTGAACAATTCCTTTGAAGACACTTTTTGATTAAGTCAATAGTTTATATACAAACGGCGCCGGTGGTGTAGTGGTAAGCGTGATTACCTCTCACCCCAGCAGGCCTGGGTTCAATCCCGATGGGTCGATAGGTAGGGTCCAGGTGTGGGAGCTGCCTTCCTGGCACGTCGGTAGCATTGGTGCTCAGCACGGAAAACAAGATCGACGGAAAAAAAATAGTTTATACACAGTTTAATTAAGTTCGTGGTTTTGCCATATCCGACCATCCGATTTGGTGTTTGATATTCAAACTTTTTCATAACATTATTACTATTCGAAACACTACATCGCGACAATTTCATTAATTTTGGACAGACAACTTTATCGCACAATATTGACCAGATATGTGTTCTTTAACTGAAACTTGATTGAGTCAACGAGCTTCCTGTTAAAATACATTTCAGCAAAAGGTCTCTCATTTCGCAAACGTTTAGTGTAACGTAAATTTGTTTTCAAATATATTTTGATTCTCATAGAAAATTTAAATATGAATAAACTATTCGTTGTCAAATTAAGGGCACCATGCTTACCATTATTCCATTGCAAATTTTCTCACTCAAATATCAAAGAGCAACGAAATTATTCATAAGATCTTTTGAAACTGGCGTCTCGTTCCAGACTATACGAATGGAGTTTCTATAGCTTTGAAATTTTTATTGAAACGTGTTGACTGTTTTGATATAAAATTCTTTACAGCAAGCTGAACAGCACTCCAAGCACCTTACAACCCCAACCCCCTACGTAAGGTACACACACGAGACTCATAACAAACAAGCAATACGGAATGGAGGGATGAAAAGATTACTCTATGCAATACATCCGGATCCGTGCCATGCCTTGTACGATGGAGGCGAAGTGCATAATTTAAACATCAACATAATATGGCACTTTATATCCGATTTCCATGACAGTCATAAGGTATATTGCACTTGGCATATCGAAAATGTACGTTGAACATTAATAACGAAAATAGAAGAAATCATGTCATCCAACGATTTACTTGCTTTGATCATCTTAATTCTGATAAAAAAAATCTTGATAGAAAGGCAAAAATATAAATCAATAATTAGTAAACAGCACTAAAACTTATAGGCAATCAGTTTTCCAGCTCGAGCTTCATCACAACATCTGGTACCACGCTATGCAAGTTCTACTATCAGGATATTTTTACCACAATCTTCCACCCGAGTCGAGCTTACTGATAATAAATAAAACCAGTAATCCATTCGAGATTAAAACGCTCCCAATTGCAGCTGTGCTCCGAACTTTTTTGTTATTCCATTCTTCGAGCACCGTCCGCGTTCATCCTTATACAGTAGAAGGACAAATGATAAAAATCGTTCTTTATTAACTCTCCTCTTGATATACACACATTTTATGTAATGGTTTTCCTCCTTCTTCATGTTAATGCGGGGTTTATCTATGGAAAGTATGGATTAATAAATGTATGAATAGAAAATTAGAAATCCATTTATGTGTTCGAGCAATTTCCAACTCGCTTATGCAAGACTTCGAAGCTGATCAAAATCGTTGATATCGAGGATTACATGCGTGACCATTTCCAATAAAAACAACAACAAAAAATCATGTTTATACAATTTACAGTGTCTTGAGATTGGCTAAACTTAGGAAAACAATATTAGCTAGATCAATAAAAGTGATGTGGTATTTCTTTTACTAAAATAATGTATGCACTACACAGAAAAAAAAGTTTATTACATCCAAACTGCTGCAACCAGGTCAATCCATCGGTTGTGTAATATAACGTTGTACGATGTACATCGATTTTGCGTACAAAATTACATCCATTGATATAATATTGTATCTGCTTTTTGCTATTACATCATTATTTCATACATCAGCTTGAATTACATTGATCGATATTACATTTTTTTTGCTGTGTATATGTTTGAATTAAAGTAAAAAGCATGTTTATTTCAACAATATAAGATTTGGGTAAACGATTTTTAGCGTGCCCTGTCTTTTTTCCTTCTTGTTTACATTCGGAAAAAAATTGCCCCGGCTTTGCCAATCAACTATGAAAATGGCCCGCAACAAAACCAAAATCATGGATCCGGAAACCCACCTAGGTAAGTGTCTGAATAAAGTTCAAGCTCGATAAAACCGGAGGAACCCCACAGTATCGACGTTACTCTGTCGTTTCTGATGCCGATCCCTGTATCATCCTCCTTCACAACTTCACAAGAAAAACGAAAATCCGAAATGAATCTATTCCGGATCCTCCAACACCGAACGTAGAAAGAGGCCGGTATGAGGACCAGCGTTAGAAACGACAAAGTGACGCTAATATCACAAAGTTTCACTGGTTTTACTGAACTGGAATCTCCGGACACTCATCCCGACGGGTCCCCGCATCTCCGACCAGGACCCCAACATCCACAGGTCACCCTTAATCGCACCCGAAAAAGAGCAGGAGTTTAATGTCTGCAAATCGTTTTTTCGTCTCATTGCAATCCATATTTGTTTTTTTGGCTTTATCGTACATTCGAATGCTAATATAATTTAAAATTAAGTATGTTTCTTTCAAACATTTGAAGCATGTTCAAAATAAAAATATTTATTTTTGTTCGCATAGTTTTCAAACCAAACAAAAATATTCACGTTTATTTTCAACACGCATATTTTTAAAATAAACGTAACATTATTTTTATTTTAAACATTAATATCACATGACTTCAAACATGGAATACGTTTGAAATAAACCTTTTTTATTTTTGTGGCCAGAACAAACTGAGTTTACGTTTAAATTTACCTAAAATATTTTTGTTTCAACAATAAATTTTTCTGCGTGATATGAAATAATGATGTAATAGCAAAAAGCAGATACAATATTTCATCAATGGATGTAATTTTGTTAGCAAAATCACTGTACTTCGTACAACGTTATATTACACAACCGATGGATTGACCTGGTTGCAGCAGTTTGGATGTAATATTCAACAACTTTATTTTTCTGTGTAGTGTACGTGCGTTAAACGTCACTAAAAATGAAGAATTTTTAATCATTCTTCGTTTAGTATTTTTTTGAGTGTATCTGGTATTATTCGCGGTACGTAATATTTAAATGGGCTTATTGTCTAATTTTAGGAAAATCGTATACTCAATTTTATGAAGTTTTATTTTAATGTGCACAATCAGAAAACACGCGCGCATTGGCGTTGACGGCGACTCTCTTACTCTTATGGTGAAATCCACAGGCAAACGTCAGACTGTGCGTGAAACATGGCGGACTTCGTGTAATGCTTTCACTCCACCAAAAAATCCCATAAGAAACTGTCAATCTTTTCTAGAAGAGACAATTTTTCGACGGTGCCGTCAACGCCAATTGTTGTTGACCTTGATGATATTTAAATGTATTTAAAGTATATTATATACTATTCAAAGAAAAGATCCACCGGCCTTTGTGTTGAATATAGAGAACATAGCACTGCACAGTCTCCATCTGATATTCTTGATCCTCTATCAGCAAACCTATCCGGCGCATCCGTTTGGCAAGAACTGGTGTTGGAGCAGCAGAATATTGTAGTTTTATAACTTCGTGTGTTTTTACGTTTCGAAACGTGTTAGATTTATTAGTTGTACCTAGATAATTGCATTGCGATTGTTTCTGTGGTTTTAAATTGTGAGATAAAAAGATAGAGAACAAAATGGTGAAAGTTTTAAGTACCAGCCTCAATAATATGTTTCGTAATCCCGAACAATTTCCCGATAGTTCGCATTTCCTGATGAAAGCAGGTAAGATTCTAATTCATGGTCCTTCGTAGAAGTCAGAGTACGATTCTTTCCTATGTACGTAATATAGTAGGTCAGCGCCCACGTGGAGATTCCTATAACGATCATCAATTATCATAGACTATTCTACAACTTCATATTGATCTGGTTCAACCGCCATTTTGTACTAAACTACTTTAATATATGCATACAAATTTAGATGATCCTCCGCTGGAAGAACTGGACCCGGCCATCTTGAGCTGCGGACTTCCGGCTATCATTTTGTCTGACGTTCAGCCAATGTATGCACCACCGATCCGCTACACGATCGATCAGCTGCTGTCCCTTAGAAAATCAGCACTATGCTCCCGGCGCCCTCTCGCAGCAGACGATCCAAAGGTTGCTTCATTTTCCATTTGGAGAAACCCCAGCCAACCGAACCGTCGGGGCAAACCTCTTGCTGGAAATTCTCGAAAGGATGACAAGGATAAAGGTACATGCGATAGCATTGGCAAGGGTCAAACTCAGGAACGAGACGACAAGCACAAGCACCCTGTTAGACACGAGAATGGATTCATTGGTCCAAGGTATTTATGGTGATCATTTCATGTTTTAACTAATTGGGTTCGTATCTGGGGTAAATTCTGTATCATGGCGAGATGGACCAGTCATGGTTTTAGCCTGTCTTAGGCTCTGAACCATTTGGTGGATTATTTTAACTTTTGGTTAAAATTTGACAGATGGAAAGTTATCGATTAACCCTGCTATCCGAGCATGGTTATTTCTGACAGACAAGAAGTTAAATTTTGACAACCGTGGCTCGAAAACCGGTCGATCGACAGCACAGGGATTTTCGAACATCGAGAATAACTTTCGAAATGTCACTTTTAACCACGAGTTAAATTTAACTCGGCAAATGGTTCACAGCCTTAAAAGACAAATCCAATGAAAAAAAATCTATCAATTTAAATTTAGTTTTCGCCCTTTCGTTTACATAGTGTTCGACCCAACATAATTTACCTTATGCGTTCTCGACTTCCTGTTGATATCGACCTTTCAGTGCTAACATTTGAAAACGGCACAAAAGCCATTTGTAAACAAATGGTTTGTGGGCCCTTTACTCACTACTTGAAGTACACCCACGCGACACAACAGCAACATCGGGTAGGGGAAATTTTCCCCTTCCTGACGATGCTGTTGGTTTGCGTGGGCGTTCTTCGGGTAGCGAGTAAAGGGCCCACAAACCATTTGTTTACAAATGGCTTTTGCGCCATTTTCAAATGTTAGCACTGCTTTAATGACATTGACGATGGAACTCAGGAGACGTTAGAACACCTTCTTCGGCCGCGGTCAGAGTAGATGCGATGCAACTCATGCAAGAAATATGTAATAATAAATGATAAGATTCTTTTGAATTGGTTGCGTTTCGCGTCTACTCTAAAGCCCTCTAGTTAAAGTATGGACGACTGTCACCACAAAACTGAAAAAAAGCTGAAGCAATCGAGCAAAGCAGTGCATTTGGATTGGAACAACTTTTGACAGATGTTCATACTTTTACTGTAGGGCTTTAGTCTACTCTGGTCGCGGCCATGACTGTTAAGTCCCACACGCAACGAAAATTGTATTTTATTCATGTTTTTCATTTACGAATTTTTCACAAATCATAAGCTTAATAATTTCTATTTGGGAAACTACGTGCATCCTATGTGAACATATCAAGCTGAACAATGCATTAGGTCCTAAGTAACATTGATTGATTCTCTTAATCTGGCATGGCTTCCGTTTATTTGTTGACTTATGAATATATAGCAATAGAAATTTGCCAAAAAAGTTTAAGGGGATTTCTATCTGTGCAACTGGAGCTATAAGTTTTTCTTTTAAAACTTCCACAGATGGTAATGGAGAGGTTTCTAAGTCTAAACAGGTCGAACCCGTTTTCGCGTTAATTGGTTTGACATCTCACAATAATAATATGTGCACCCTTTTACTCCTACTCTTATTTTGATTGCCCCTCGTTTTCAATTGTTATCGTAAAGTTTACTCGAATCGTATAGCCCTGTGTTTGAATTGACTAAATAATGTAGTATTGTTTCGTTCGGCAGATTCAGACAAAACTACGAATTTAGCAACCGCAACCACCACGTAATTGTGAGAAGCTACCGTGGCGAAGGCGACAATTATCAAATGCAAAACAATATGGTCGAGAAAGAACCGGAATGGGTATCCGCTGGTCCTACTTCCCGCTTGGACACTATAGAACTGCGCGGCTTTGACGATGATCTATCCAACCATGATGGCTTATCGGTTTCTCAGTCCTCTTGGGGAAAAGCTAACAGCGGTGATGCAAAGAATTCCAGCAAACATTCTTCGGGAAAGCACATCTCATTCTACGATGATCTTCATCACTACGAACATGTTGTCCATGCGAAACGAAACGACATATTTCTCAAACCGCACGATTCATCCGGCCGCGAAAATGACGTTGAAAGTGTGACTACATCCAACACAGGTTCGCCACCGCCTGCTCGAAGCACCCCAACGAAGGACATTACCGATTGCAATAATTTGGCTGAGGATACTCAAAAGCACAACGGTGTCAACGTGAACAACTTTGAAAAGTTTATGAAATTTGATTCGCTGCTGGGTGTAAGTATATCAGTTTAAGTACAGACACCTAGGGGGCTGTTTATTAACTACGTAAACGGTTTTTTGTTGTTGAGATTATTGAACCTCCCCCCTCCCCATGCGTAGACTATTGTCCATACATCTGTTTTAATTGTAAGGGCCGTGGATAATAGCCAACCCCCCCCCCCATCCCCTAAACTGTCTACGTAGTTTATGAACAACCCCTAGTTTAGATCTGCAATAAGTTATCTAGATATTTGCTAAATCAACAGTTCCGCATTCTCAATGATCGTACATTTGTTTCTATTACAGTCTGACTCAGCCACTAGAACCAGTGTTCAGTCAGGATCCCGGTCTAGTAAATGGTTCCGGCATGGTAACAACCAATCGACTGATTCAAACCATGACAGACGCCAGCATTTTTTTAATATGACTCAAGACAACTTTGCCGGCAACGGCAATTACAATCGTTATCCGTTCGACCGTAGTTTTTCACAACAATCTCGTTTCTCATCATCATCATCATCGTCGTATAACAACAGCCAAGTCGATTCACAGAACAACCATCCACAAACCGACCCCAATTCCGCTTATAGACGGGTGATGGACATGATTGCCCAAAGTCGTGTCACCAACAATCAGACCGCTCAAGAGCAGTACATGGTACAGATGCTCAACAAGACTCAACAGAGCGAAATCCTACGTCGCATGCTGATTAAGAACACTGTCGACAACGGATCTGACGGTAACCAACAGCAACAGCAGCATCAAGCTGCACAGCCACCGCGTATTCCAACCCAACTGGAGCTTCAATTACACACCCAATCGATCATGCAGAATGCTCTGCTCCGTAAAAAGTTACAAGATCAGCGTAGAATGCTTCTCGAGCAAAGCAGTCATTTGTCTGCCATGGCCACTGCTCCTAACATAGTGGAACCTAACGCTGAGGTGCAGCAATTTGTCAAATCAGTTTCTCCAAACTTCCAACGGAGCTTATCGGTCCTGAACCAAACGGCCACTGCTGGTGCTGGCCATTATCGCTCATTCAACCAATCGTTCCCGGGTGCCAACTCTGCAGTCAATAACCCACTGTTCATTGGTGGATCAAATCAGCTGGACCTTTCGGCGTCTCTCCGACAGATGTTGCTTTCACAGCAGCAACAAGGACCGCGCTCGCTTGGCAATCGTCGCCGATCCGGGAAGAAATCAGTTACTTGGAAAAATCCCGTCTAAATACTTTACGGTCCAACGCATTGGATTGGTCAGATTGAGGAAAATGTGAGTTGTAATTCACTTACTACAAAAAAATCATTTGTTTTGATGCAGAGGTCATCGGTTGGAATATTAGTATTTCGGGTTTTTTTTACCATTCAATTTTTCGTGCCTTTCACTAGGTATACGTGTTTCCGTTTTTACTTTTCATTATTCAAAGTGTCTTGTTCTTTCTTTTTTTTTGTATTTATACGAACGGAATTATTCGACTTCAGAGTTGTCAGAGTAGTCCAGCACAGCGTTTCCTATTTTGTTCTGTGCAGATTATCTTCTTACATATTTACTAACCTAGTTTTAAGACGATTGTTTGTAGATCGCAAGAACCAATAGTTGTTCTACCTATACATATATATATATATCCTTTTCTCTCATTTTGTTTGCTCACAAATTTTGTCAACTGATTGTAGGTAAAATCCAAGAAAAAGAAACATACATTAGCACATAGTTTTACACAAACTGAATTAGCTATCGTGGATTGGTATTTTGAATCTTAGACTATAAAAATCATTGAATTGTGCAAATTTTATTCTGTTTTTTTAGAAGAAATCTGAAAGAATAGGTTACTTAACCCCAAAATCACACATAAATAATGTGCGACACACACAAATGCGTTGAATATCTAGCGTACGGCACTAATCCGTTATAATAATGCACTTCGGAGTATACATGGCCAATGAGAATAACTCAGAGTCACTTCTACTCAGAGGTATGGATAAATTTATAAAAATTCAGCGCTGAGTACCTCCAGTTTTTAGGAATTTATCGTACAACTGATTAGAAGTGACTCTTTCGCTCTGAGCATGCTTGGCATGCACAGTTGTACACACCAACTGCTCATTTGTTAATAACTTTTCACTCAGTTGTTGAAATTTGTTTACTCTATTCTATCAACTACTTCAAACAGAACTATGTTTCGTCAACTGTGTGCAAAGTTATTAGCAAATGAGCAGTTCGTGAGCAAAACTGTGTATGCCAAGCATGGCTCTGAGTTATTTTCATTGGCCATGTACGCATTATATACGGTCATTCGACAGTAGACTGGACCAGGGGGTGACCCGGCGTAGAGGTTAGCATCCATACCTCTCACGCCAAAGTCACGAGTTCAAATCTCACTCCCGGACAAGTCACGAAAGACCCAGGAGCGTTAAAGTGACTATAATAATTAAAAAAAAAAAGTAGACTGGCCCACATTTATATGGGGGAATTTTTTTATATTTTTTTTCAACGGACCAACCCCTAGATTTGTGCTATTAGGTAAGAAACCACTCTCTGAACATTTCAGCTCGTTCGGATGTAACACGAACTGGCGCTTTTGATTTAAAATTTATATGGGGATATTGGTGGAAATGTATGGAGAAATAACATTCCTTCACTCTTTCGTGCATAGAACTGGTTCAGCAAACACGATCAGAATTTCAGCACACGTAGTTTAAACTATGAGAAACAACTTTGCTCAAGACAGTATCACGTTTCAAGTTAGTATTATGGAGATATGAAAAAATATGTGCATTCTGCTCGTATATTGCAACAAAATACAGGCAGCTTATGTTATGCAACGTATCAACTAGATTACTACAAAAAATAAAAGTTTATATTTTCCACAGGCCAACATCCAGGCTCGTGTCTTTTGATGCGATAACCAGTCTCTGAATGCTTTAGCTCTTTTTGACGTTACACGGGCTGGTTGAAATCAAGGTTGCAAAGACTCATTTCAGCTAAAACAATGTTTTTCTAAATTATGAAATAATTAGATGCCATGATCAAATTTTGAATTGGTAGGATACAAGAAGAGGTTGCAAAGAATGTGTTTGACATATTAAACCTGTCTATTTCACTTCATGAGAGTCACAATCAGCGATTTTTCACAAACTCACTCACTCACTCACTCACTCACTCAGCGATCAGCAAATCGCTGATTGTGACTCATAGAAAGCAAAATTTACAGGTTTTATGTTTCCAACGCATACTTTGTAACCTCTTCTTGTAAGTTACAAGTAAAACATGCCATCATACCATCTTTTGGTTTTATTATTCCGAAAAACATTATTTTAGCTGAAATGAGTCTTTGCAACCTTGGTTGAAATTTTCATATGCAAAATGCACATATACATTCAAAAGCGAATATCTCAATAAAACTAACTGGATTCATGATGCAATCTTTAGAAAAGTTGTTACTCATTAATAGAACTACAAGTTTTGAAAAACTGAATCCAATTGAGAATAAAGAAACTTTTTTATGGTCGATAGAGTGTGGAAGTATGATTTTTTCATGTATTTTATCCAAATTCCCCATACAAAATTTAAACAAAAAGCGAAAGCCGAATGAGCTGAAATTTTCAGAGAGTGGTGTTCTAACCAAATGGCACAAATCTAGGGGTTGGCCCGTGGAAAATTAGAACTTTTATTTTTGTGGGCCAGTCTATTCGACAGCCCCTTAGATTTAGATATTAAGGACAGGAATTATAGAAGCCATAAATGGCCGCTATCATGGCTAATTTTACAAGAAAAATCAGCCATGACAACGGTCACTTGTGGATTCTATCAAACATGTCGTAATGTAACTCGTGGTGGTGAGAGAAGAATTTGATGCAAAACTGATGGATATACATACTGCCCATTAAATTATAACACTCCCATATGTTCAAAGTGTTTTTTTTTATGTTACTTCATACGCGAAGTTAACGATTTTCAGAGTTGGTTGGAAATGCTAACATGAAGCTTTAGTGTGATGATTTATTAGCTAGAGAATGATCTTTAGAAGAGGGTAGGTGGATAGTTCCGTTAGAGTACGGCAGTATGAAAATTGAATAGAAGTTGAAAATGAGCGAAGGGCCATTAAAGCGACAGTTTTCAAGATAGACGCACATATGATTTTTTGTCAGATATGAGCTATCCATTAGAACCATTGTAAACTACCGGAAAGTTACATATTTTGTTCATGAAATATCGTAAAAAATATTACAACTAAGTTGTCCCATCCATAAGAGTCTACGGAGAAATTAATTTTCAGAAGTATTTTTCTCGGCTTGCTGTTTTTCCAGATGGGACTGATATGTTTTTTTTATAGGCAGTACTCGACCAGTCGAGTATTAGTACAAGACACTGAAGAAGTCTGCACATTGTAGACGAAATACGCGTATCTGTCAAGGATAAGCAAATAAAGTAGTGGAATTAAATGGAAAATGCTAATCCTTCTCTCTCTCATTATACATACATAATTGTTATAAGAAAATAATACAGGAATCCCCGATTTGCGCGATGGGTTGAATTGAGTTGATTTTTGGTTTGTAATTAGGTCCAACCACAAATTTCCCTGTCCAAGGATGAGGGGCTTGTTGATGATTTGTCAAGTGTATGCATGATTTTTTTTTTTGCAATTTGTTAAAATTGTAGTTTCCTCCAGTTCATTGATTTGAAAGGTTCAAGCGAGTTAATTTCAAGGAGCCTTAAATTGTAGTTTTATCATAATTTTATTATTAGCATAAAATAAAATAGTAATTTTCAATTCGCTTTTGTAATGCTAAGGTAAATAGTTTGCTTTGAGTGTAAAGTTAATTTATAAGAAAGTTATAACAGTTTTTTTTTGCCCTTCGAAACTTGACGGGTCATACCTCTAACATAGTAACAGTGACAGTGTCGCATGTCCTAACAACAACTGCCTGCGACTAGTGTTCGAGGGGCCGACAGGGCTGAATACGGGTCAATACTAACAAAACTAACACTAACATGACTTCGAAACTAACGTTCATCCATTGCACTAATAGGTAGTTATAATGAAGTTGTACTTTCCTAATAACCCATCTATCGCAGGTTGTTCATCGAACACGCATTTGACTGTCAATTTGAGTGTTTTTGGTTGGTCGTGCCGCCTCCTGTGGCGCGCACGGTCTGTTCCCTTGCGTTAAACGCTGTCCAGACTGGAGAGTTATAACATGTTATAACGGTTGTCAAATAATTGCAACACAGAAACCACCATCAAGATAGCGCTATAACCTGTTATAACTCTGTAGTCTGAACGTACTATTATAGTACGTTCAGACTACAGAGTTATAACATGTTATAGTGCTATCTTGATGGTGGTTTCTATGTTGCAATTATTTGACAACCGTTATAACATGTTATAACTCTCCAGTCTGTACAGCGTTTTAGACGTCTGCACACTAGCGCCATCTGTTCAGCGTACTATCCATCACATGATACTCAACAGATGGCGGTAGTGTTTTAGTGACTATGTGTTGTGGAGAGAAATATTAAATGTGTTATTTCTGTTTGTCTGTGCATCTATGTTTCTTTTTCGTTGTGTGTGTGTGTGGGGGAGGGGGGTTAATGTAACCAATACTAATACCTTTCTCTCTGTTCTTTTATTCGTTTTCTATATCCCTTCACCATCACCCCATATCCCATCATCTTGACGAGAGATGAGTTACTTGCATGCTGCACGCCCATGTTGTACTACAGGGTAATATACCGAGAGTGGCTATGTCACAAAAACCACGCAGGAACGAAAATCGATAGAGCTGAGGAATAATGAGGCAAATTCTACACAGTATTTTAAAGGAGCCAACTCTAAGCAGGTAATAATAGCAATTAATAATCAAACAAGCATAAAACGTAAGAATGAATTTATTTATTTTAAATACAGTAATGACCTAATTTTGTCAGCCCCTCCGCGCTTCAGACTTTTTTTCTTTCAATAATTTCACATAAACATAATTCTAATTTTTTCTCATTCATCGTTAAGAGGGATATTTAAAGTATACTTTGGTGCAATAGGTTCAAGAAGATTACTGAAAAAGGGCATGGGTTTTGTAGAACTTTGGAAAACATTTTCAAAAAAGGGGGTTGACAAAATCGGGACTTTACTGTATTCCATTTACATTTACATGATTTATCACATATTTATGGTCATAATCTAATACACACATTTGATCACAATACGAGCCTAAAAGCTGCAGTGACCTAGTGAGCACCATAGCTCGAGTCGTCTCTTAGTATTGTGTATCGCATGAAGAGCCCAACCGAGATCCTAGCCTATTAAGACTGCAGTTGGTCAACTCTCGAAAAAAAAAAAAAAAATAGGGCCAACCACAAATTTTACACTCACACTCTACCCTTTGGTTCAATAAGGGTTAGGACGCGTTTTTCCAGGTTGGTCCAGGCAAATTTCATGTGTGAGTAAGTGATGACACTGCCCCGTAACGTGGGTAGATCACCTTTTCGTGGTACGTTACGGGATGTAAGATCTACCACCGATTCCTAGTCCTGACTACTTCAAACTAGGGGAACAGGATTTTTCAGTAATCCAAGGAACACATCTTAGTCCTTGTTACTTTTTATGTCTTGTTGATAGTGACAAGACTCGGCTTTGTCTACCGAGAATGATCTTGAAACAAGGAAAAAATGAGTTAGTTGTCTTCATCTATGTAATTCCTAATCTTCTATTTGTTGTTCGCTAGTTTGAAGTGGTTAAGACTAGGGTTCTGATGCATGGTCATTATCGGTGTCATACCTTAATTTTGTTGCTAAGGAATCCA